TGTGAGTCTCTACCAGCGTTGCCAGACGTCACGATTTTTAAATCAAAATTAAATGCCCCGCGCGGGACCGGCTCAATCCCGCTTTTCGGGAATAATTCGGCCGTGCGTGCAGCGTACTGATAAAGCGCGGACGGGTGGCACAGACATGTGTGGACTGGTCACCTGCCCGGCGCGTAATGAAGAACTCTCAAACAAAGACTCAACTATTTATCATCATCATCATCAGCCTATTAATGTCCCCACTGCTGGGGCACGGGCCTTCCCTGTGGATGGAATAGGGAGATTGGGCCATGACCCACCACGCGGGCCCAGTGCGGATTGGTGAGTGCTAACGACTGCAAATGCAGCCGGGACCAACGGCTTAACGTGCCTTCCGAAGCACGGAAGAGCTCGAGATAGTAAATTTTTGGTCACCCATCCAATGACCGACCACTGCGAAAGATGCTTAACTTCAACGATCGCAGCCGAACGCGCTAGCCACCTGCGCCATCGAGCTCCTCAACTATTTAACGATAGGGTAAATCTGATTTAAAATATCATATTTTTATTAAAATACATTTTCTATGGATATTTTTACTAGGTACCTATCTATTGGCACGTAAACGTAATTCGAACACAAATAAAAAGATAAATATTCAAAAACTTTTTATTATTTACGTCTTTTTTAACTATGTCCCGCTTTCGACGAAAGAATCCCGCTTTTTTCACTCAAAAAGTTCCTAAAGCCCGAGTTGGCAAAAATAAAATCTGGCAACACTCGGTTTCCGTTATAAAAAAGAATACATTTTGAAGTAAATACGGCGTCTACTTCAATCTAACCTTCTTGCTAACCTATCTACCATTTTACGAATGCCTACCTAAATACATAATATTTTACTCAGAAATATTTTACGCGTGGCTGGACTTTATTTAGTTAAGTGGCTATTAGACAAATGTGATACAAGGTGTTTATGTATTAGTAATGGAAATTTATCTACGACGCAAATGCAAACTTCAACAAATATTGTTAAGTATAGATAACAAATACAGTATTGATGGCGAAACTGACACAAATTCTACTGATAAATGGAAACCTGTCGTTCAAACCAGGTCGGAAAATGTTATTAACACTACTTTGGTAAAACTAATATGTAATTAATGTGTACCTTGGTAATTTCACGATTTATTTTATAAATGTAGAAGTTGGTATGTTTTGTATTTGTTACTCAATCACGCAAAAGCAAATAAATGGATTTGGATGAAATTTAGTACGTATATAGTTTAGATCTGGATTGACACAAAGGATACTTTTTATCCCGGAAAAATGTTATATCCCAGGGGATTCTCAAAAAACTAAAGTGAATGCGGACGATGTCGCGAGCGGCCGCTAGTAATTACATAATATTACTGTGTAACATAATTTTACGTAAGCGGTGCCATTATAACATTGATGCCTTAAGGCCGAACTCAGAAACGTTAAATTAATTTAAGGCTACATTAAGTTACATGGTGTCTCTTTATATTTTAATCTGAAACAAAGTGATAGGAACAACATAATACTTAAATAATTTAAACATATGAGTTAATTGGCATTTCTGAATACAGTTACTGCCGTTATTAACATTTATTCTAGAAACCCCATCATCATCATCAGCCTATTAATGTTGTAAACTGCTGGGGCACAGGCCTTCCCGGTGGATGGACTAGGGAGATTGGGCCATGACCCACCACGTGGGCCCAGTGCCTATTGGTGGGTGCTAACGACTGTAGATGCAGCCGGGACCAACGGCTTAACATGCCTTCCGAAACACGGAGGAGCTCGAGATAGTAATTTTTGGTCACCCATCCAATGACCGACCACTGCGAAAGTTGCTTAAGTTCAACGATCGCAGCCGAACGCACCAACTACTTGCGCCATCGAGCTCCTCCTAGAAACCCCACTGATATAATATCCCTCGGTAGGTATTACTATATATAACTAGCTGAGCCAGCGAACTTCATATCGCCATAAAACATGGGTGGGAGAAGGGTAAAAATTTAGGGTTGTATGTATTTTTGTATGATTTATCATAAAAAAATAGTGCCTATTGGTGGGTGCTAACGACTGTAGATGCAGCCGGGACCAACGGCTTAACATGCCTTCCGAAACACGGAGGAGCTCGAGATAGTAATTTTTGGTCACCCATCCAATGACCGACCACTGCGAAAGTTGCTTAAGTTCAACGATCGCAGCCGAACGCACCAACTACTTGCGCCATCGAGCTCCTCCTAGAAATCCCACTGATATAATATCCCTCGGTAGGTATTACTATATATAACTAGCTGAGCCAGCGAACTTCATATCGCCATAAAACATGGGTGGGAGAAGGGTAAAAATTTAGGGTTGTATGTATTTTTGTATGATTTATCATAAAAAAATAGTGCCTATTGGTGGGTGCTAACGACTGTAGATGCAGCCGGGACCAACGGCTTAACATGCCTTCCGAAACACGGAGGAGCTCGAGATAGTAATTTTTGGTCACCCATCCAATGACCGACCACTGCGAAAGTTGCTTAAGTTCAACGATCGCAGCCGAACGCACCAACTACTTGCGCCATCGAGCTCCTCCTAGAAACCCCACTGATATAATATCCCTCGGTAGGTATTACTATATATAACTAGCTGAGCCAGCGAACTTCATATCGCCATAAAACATGGGTGGGAGAAGGGTAAAAATTTAGGGTTGTATGTATTTTTGTATGATTTATCATAAAAAAATAAAAACTAAAATTTCTGTCAAAAAGAAAGTAATGGTGGACCACCGAGGATGAAAAATAGATGTTGTCCGATTCTCAGACCTACTGAATATGCATATAAAATTACACAAAAATCTATCTGGCCGTTTCGGAGTAGTTCAATTACGCACACCGTGACACAAGAATTTTATATATTAGATATAAGCGCACAGTATGTTATGAGACCGTAAAATCGGACATTCTTATTTATTTGATATATATGATGACTATGACTCTTTAGAGCTCATTTATACAAACATGAGAGTAAAACTCCCGCTTGAAAATTCGACGTAGTTTTTGAGATATAAAAATTGAAAAATATTATTTTTGTTATTTTTGTTTTTATTTTTTTCATCATTATACCATAATATATGCAAACTTTTTTAATCGCAAGATAAAGTCTGATATGTATTCTAGTTGTATAAAAAAATCTGCTTAAAATTCCGTGGTATATTTGAAAAAAAAAATTAAACCAATGCACAAAAATTTTACGCGTCTAAGGTTGACACATTTAGAAGCGATAAATTCATGTCTAAAAAGTTACAAATAAAAATACTAATTGAATCCCACCTGTTATATTCATAGTATTTAAAGGTCTAAAAATTGATATTCGGCGCCTGCAGTTGTTTTTAAATTTTTATTTTATATTAATGTAAAAATATTTTCAGTCGAGATAAATGTTATGTTCACATGATAGTACTGTTGTATCATCACTTGGGTCTTCGACCTGATCTTCGATACATTGTTCTGTAATATCGAACTAATATCGATCAATAGATTAAGCTTTTTGAGATCCAATAAAATTAGCTCAAAAAGAGGGTCAAATCTCGGGAAGGAAGATAATAAGCTGATATTTTTTATAAATCTATGTTTTGACGTTTTAAAGGTTACCTCATAAATCTCATAATCATATAAGATCTAGTTTCTGCGTCTTAAGTTATTTAAGTTCGAACGGGAAAAGATAGGAATAGGGGGCGAGATATTTATAAGAACGAGTTTTTCATAAATATCTCGCTTCCTATTCCAAGGTTAAAAGCTAATTTTACTGGGCTAAAGTATTTTCCACCGACATTCGACCTTTGTCATCTCTGGCATTGTATATAATCGAACACAAGATTCAATCTTAATATGTGTGATTCTAATAAAATATTTAAACCTCCAAAAGAAATATTGCTTTTAAAAAGTTATAAGAAATTTACAATTCTATGTGACAGCCCTGGTGCATATTTTCAGTTTGTTTTTTCTCAAATATACCACGAAATTTAATGCTGATTTTTTTATAGAACTAGAATAAATATCAGACCATATCTTGCGATTAAAAAAGTTTGCATATATTATGGTATAATGGAGAAAAAAAATAAAAACAAATATAACAAAAAGATTTTTTTTTATTTAACGTCAGGCATTTACAAAACACTTAAACGCTTATTACGTGTAGTTTTAAGAGTACTATGAAGTATGATAACGGCTCTAAATTAAATGTTATTAGTTTACGAGTAAGAATGTTTTTCATTTTTTTAAAAGAAAAAAATAACTAACTTTTGAATTTTTGTATCTCGAAAACTAAGTGGAATTTTCAAACGAGAGTTTTTCTATCATATTTGCATAAATGAGCTCTAAACGATTCATCAAATAAATGAGAATGTCCGATTTTACGGTCTCATAACACACTGTGAAGCGGTACAAAAGAATGACGAGTATCTTTTTTTGACGTGATAACGTCTTATAAATCGATGAACATCGGCTGCACGCAAGAAAAAGTGTGACGTCATGTCACGTTGTCACGAGTTAGTTCAACGTTCCGCGGTATGTGGGAGGTGAGGTTGACGGGTTCCATCGTTTCCCTCACATCGTAACTGTGGCAGTTGAATGAAATCACTGACCATTTAAGTCTACCTACCTATTTCGTGAATCTAGGGCAGTTTATCATATATTTCGCAGCATTCAACTAGGGAGACGTAATTAGCAATCATCGGTCGCAATTCGTTACGAACTGTCTCCTTGACATAGACAAAAAGCATCTAAATGCTAATGAACTAAATAACGATCTAACTTGAGGAGCTTAATGTGAGATTTAACACAGAAATTATCATTTTTAAAATTTAAATAAATGTATCCCAATAATATCCCTATGTATACTCGTCTTATATAGGTACATTTTACTGAGATATATTTACTTAAGTTAGAGCAATGTGAAAAAAGTAAAGACCCGATTAACGAAAAATATTAGAATGAAAACTGCTTACTTCGCATGCCATAGTATGAAAATCTTTCGCAGAACTCATTGGTGACAATAAATCCAACTGCTTTCGGGTACGGTAGTTTCTGAAACAAAAACAAATTGCATTAATTTTCATAGTAAGATAATTGTTATAAAACTAAGTACCTAAGAACCAAAGGGTTTTCACTATCCAAGCGCCACTCGTCAAAAACATGGCCAATTTGTATTCGGTTTAGATTACCTCCTTGCCAGGCCTGCTAGGTGACAAAAAAATAAACACACACGAACGACAGATCGAGTTGTTAAGTTTAAAACAAAATTGTTTGGCTTTCTGCAGTCAGATTCAACAACTAGAAGCCGCAGTAGATAACTGCTGGAGCAATTCATACCAACTGCATCAGCAAATCATGTAAACAAAACAAAAGGAGAGAGCAGCTCGAGATAGCTCGAGCAGTCAATATATGCCAGGCGACTGCTTTACTGCCAACCACCCGAAGCAGTCGCAAGTGCTTGAGCGGTTCCCTGTATGTGTGTACGTTAGAAGACTGCAGTTCACTATGCAGTTGCAGCTTGAAGCAGTCCACCCTGACTGCTTTCGTGTATCTTTAAGTTTCAAGTAGATGATTGCACGGCAGAGGCGTTGGGGAATAAATAAAGTTCAAGCTTGGTTCAAGTTGACAAAATGAATGGTGGCTAGTGCAAACAAAATTATGTAACTAATCTTCGGAACTCCATCTCTTTCATACTCACATCAGGGTACAACACCCTCCGCTAAGATAACATATAAAATCGTCTCTCAATAGCGATTATGTATGTAGTATAGCTGTTTTTCAAAAAGTCCTAGTTACTAAAACATACAATTATTCAACATACTTTTATTTATGTTTTTATTTTTTAAGCATTTAACTACTAGACGTTTTAATCCAACGAAAAGTTTACTAGAAAAAAATCCACCCGGACCAGAATACTTATATTTGTCACAAATGAGTTATTAATAGACATTTGTTATTTTTGCTTCTGGTAATAAGATCTGTATCAAAAATCAAAATAACTTGAACATAATTTAAACACATACTTGAATTTTGCATAATCGGCGATACTGGTGAGGCAAGTTAAGTTACTTCAACTCGCCGGACCTTATAGCAGGAATTTAAAAAGAAATATAGTACAGAACTTACGCACAATGTGAAACAAGATATTTTTTGGCCATAAATTCCTAACAAACTATAAATCCAATAGGTAAGTGTTCACTGCATTTTTGCTTCTTTTACGGTTTGTTATGTTTGCTAATAATCTTGACTCGCATACCAATGTTCACATTCATGACCCAAACATTTACATTGTTGTTTTTGGTTTTAAAGAATACTAACTCTGGTAGTAAAATGTATACCCGGATTTGTTTAAAAGAAAAAAATTGCAAAGTAAAAATTACAACCTGACCTTAATCGGATAAATTTTTTGTCACATTTTTTCGATTAGCTATCTCATTATATGTGTATCTATTCAAAATAAATTCATTAAACTAAATACCACTGTTGATTCAGCTACGGTGGAATAAAAAAAAGAACCAAGTCGGCTAAAATTTCGACATAGTTAATCGGTAAAATAAGATTTAGATGTGAATGAATATAATAAGTATTTACATGCACAATACTCATATTAAAATCATGTTTTTATGTTGGTATGATTCTATAAAGTAAAATTTTCTATTTTCACAAATGAAATTGTTAAGTGGCGTTCTAACTGCCAATTATTTCTGGTTTTACAGCCACGATATAACCTTACTTATTTACTCTCTTAAATACTTATTAACTAACTTCAACTTTGAGTATTGTAACATATAATTCAATTCACAAAATAAACAGTATCTTTATGTACTTATAAAACTGAACCATTTCGCATAACTTTTTCTTATATCGAAATCAATAAATTCGCGCAAGACGTCTGAAATGCGCACTCGTTAAATAAAAACCTATATACTTCACTTGTCCTTCTTTTGTTTTAAATTGTATTTCCGAATAAAATCCGACCGAAAAAAACTATAGGTTAGGTTACTTCTTTGAATAAACTTAAGACTAAGAACTGAAAAATCATGAAAAGTTTCGGCGCAATGGTAGTGAGACCTGCGTGAATGACAATGTTCTTTATTTAAAATTCATAATATCACGCATCGAGCAGTGAAAATTGTGGCTGTCTGTACCCTTAGTACGAGTTTTACAATTACGAAAACTATGATAGTTTTCGACACATACTAAGGGTACTGATTTCATTATTTTCGTTTCAATATAAAAAAACAGTGTTTAAATTTAATCATTAAATAATTTGCGTCTTCTTAAATTTTAAGTACATTGGTTACTTTTCACCAAAATGGACATAGAAACATAATTTACAATTACGAAAATTATGATAGTTTTCGTGAGCTCAAACTCGTACTAAGGGTACTGATGAAAAACCCCTGGGCATGGAAGGGATTAAAAAGCGAAAGTGTTATTATGAAATATATTAAAAACAACCCAAATGTTTGTTATTGTTTTTTTTTATATTATGGCATTGGATGTTTTAATATTGGCAATAAGCTGTTTCAGAATCTTTAATAGAGGTATTAAACCATTAGGGTAGTTAAAATAAATAAGGTGATTGTTTTTTTTTACAAGTGTTTCAACATTTACGTAATATAACGACAGATAGACGGTAGAGTGTGTATGTACCTAATCAGTTTTCAAGACAAATACTCTCAGGTTCTGGTTTTGAATCCCGGTAGGGAAAAATATTTGAGTGATAAATACGAGCGTTTGTACCAGATGGCTGTTTATTGACGTGACAACGTCTTAAATTAGGTTGCGGCTGGGAGTCACTTATGAAAAAGTGTAACGCTCGGTAACGTTACGATGAGTTTAAGTTTACATGTACAATGTTTTAGTAAACAAAATATATTTCTATAGTTAAAATTTGTGCAATTCTTATTTTCATTCAATTCCTTGTTCCTATTGTGCAATTTAATTATATTCATATCAATAAATATTCTACCGAGAAAAAGACGTTGTCACGTAAAATCTTCGCCCGTAAAACCGACTTTACAGGCAACCATTTTTTATTGTCTCTTACTATAGTCCTAGTAGGTACGTATACTAAGGGAAGATACGGCACTCGCGGCTCCAAAGTGATCCGCTTAAATTGTGGTGCATGACCTCAATTCGCTTTAGTCACAATTGGACATTCAAAGACGCTGCATGTGCACTCAATATAACAATATTATATAACATATATTCTGTGTTATATAGATAAAACAAAGCCTTCAATGCTTTTATAAAGAACAAAAATAGTTCAAAATCAAATAAAAAATGCCTCGCCAACACTTTGCATTCGTAAAACTGTTAAAACATTTTTTTCTCAAACATCACGGTTTATCGTGAATGTTAGTTACGTAATCGCCATTTTGTTATCAAGAAAAGGACAACAATACAGCTCAGCCGTACGGACTCGGAAGCGGGCTCGCCGTTTCGTTCGCGCTGCGTTGAAGCGTACAGTTCGGTCTCGCTCACTCGATTGAATGTTTATTTGATGCGAGTATGAGCGTACGGTATCCTTTTTGTTTAATCTAAGTACGTATCCCATAACAAAAGGTTTACAAAGCTTGGCAGAGTAAGAAATATTATATATAAAGAATTGAGCATAAGTACCTTTGCTTATATCCATACCATTTAAAGAATTATTATAGCAAAAAATAGATAGCCTTTGTCATGAAATCTTAAAAAATGCAGGTCCCGCCATGTTCATAAAATAAGGTTAATTAAGGTTAGTTGGGCGGCGGCATGCTGTCACACATTTGTTTCAAATGTCTCGTTTCAACTTATATTCCAGCAAAATTAGGGATGTATACTTTGTTAACATTCAAGGAAATAACTAAAATTTGAAATCCGCAATAATGCTATAATAGTAATTTATGTTATGTACGGGATTGTTTTTAGTGAGTTTCTGACATTTCGGCTCTGTTGTAAGCGCCAAGGGGTAACTGATACTGTTTCTCCGTGAACATGGCGCTTGCAACAGTGCCGAAATACAACTCACTAAAAACAATGTTCATGGTAACAATCCTGTAAATAACATAAATTACTATAATGTTAGTGACTTTGAAAATTTAAAACAACACATCACAAAAATGCAACTTTAAAAAAAATATCCAGTCAGGGTTTAAATTGCGATGCAAGATGCAAGAAGTAGTGGGTAGGTTTACTTAATTTTCTAAAGACTAAATATGTTTTTTTTTTATAGCTTTTTCTCGGTCACTGACCTGTTTCGATGCTTGTTGTGATTTAACGAGCATCGTATCACTGTCCTGCATGTATTTAATATCGCTGCTTTTTATGAAAATGGGTAGGTATGTTATTGATGACATCAGAATCAATGACTTCTTAGCTCTTGTAAAAGTACTCGTATTTAAGGTTTTCTCATTCAGTTTAATTTTTAGAAAAAATCTACATGTTACTGGTTATATCTAGAATATAATACGTCCATTCTGTATCATGCTATCACAGTTTTAATTTCGTTAATTCTAAATTATGAACATTGTCAAATATTTATTATTGGCTACTTCAACCTTCATTGCGATATGTTGTCGTGTAGTGATATGATTGATATGTTTAAAATGTCTGAAATTGGAACTATCCAATTTGAAATGAGATTTTGCTTTAGAAAATCGCCCTACCGTTTCCAAATTCAAAAATTTATTCAATAAGTGCAACCGAAAATAATGAAGAAGTAAGTATTTTGTACCGGAGTCCGTTAGGCTTCCTTAAATATATCAGCCCTGACCACGACGAGCTGTGTCTCGGCTTGAAAACCAGTAATAACCAGATCAGTCCTTTGCCGGGGCCGCAGAGTAATTACAATCACTCAGTTTGGCAATTTGACGATGATGGACCGAAGTACCGAACACAATTAACGAGATGAAAGGGGTCACGCGACATAAGCTTTTTGAATGTTCGGGGAAAAATGCGCACGTGTAGATACTAAGTATAGGTAATGCAGCGTACGATAACACGTTTTAAACAAGAAACATAATAATAACAGTAGATACAAGAGCAATGGTTTTCATTTACTGCAA